CTTTGCAAGATCTTAGGTAACCAATGATCTTATTGTTGGTCCAATGATTCTGTGAATACATGGCACAACATACTTTGCATAATAGGAACTTAACACTGGACCCAGCAGAGTCTTACAGGCAGGTTCAGGATCAAAAACAACTGTCTCACCTGCAACAAAAAAGAATAGAGAATAGGAAAGCCATTTGAGAAATCAAATAATTTTTGATCAAACAATTTTTGTACTGCAGGGTCAAAAGAGACTCAAATTTCATTTGTTAAATTCTCACATTGGAGCTACCATATAAGTCTCATTTTGATGACCATTTTTGTGCTTGGTTAAACCACACTCCTCTCCTTTCTTCTGAGCCAAACTGACAGATGTCTGTCCAACTTACCATGGTTCAGAAGAAACTGTACCACAGGAATCAACACTCTTTTCCATCTGTTGAAATCAGAGGTAACTCGAGCATAAAGTCTTCTTATAATCTCAATAAGTTTGGGAATCAAAGACTTGTCCATGGAGCATAGAACATCCAAATTGTAGATAACTTCAACCAGACACTGTTAAGATAATCAAATGATCAAAAGACACCCAAAATCATTATTTTTCCTACTGAAATCTACCAGTTATTGTAGAAAATCATTAGATAAAAATAGATTCTAGTTTTAAAGCCTCTAGCAAATGTTCACTTACAGCTTCAATTAACATAGCATCCTGTTGCTTGCTTGGTTCTATTGGAAAAAATAATAAATTTTACACGATACTTTTATCATATTGATAAAATCAAACATAGCAACAAAGAGTTTAATCATGGTAATCCTGTATGCAGTTTGGTTTTTCATGGTAAAAAACTACCCTTACTTCTTTCACTTTGTTCCAGAAGCCTCAAGCAGTATTCACAGGCCCTCTCTTTCAGTTCTTGTTCACCACTTTTCACTCCATGAGGACTTGACGGGAATAATTTTGAGAAACTTAAAGTTGACAGACTTCTTTTATGTTTTCCTCTCTTTGATGTATGCTGAGCCTGGTCCTTGGTACCAGGCTCTTCAGGATCACATGAAAAACTTAAAGGAGTCTGGGGTCTAGAATCACTACCACTTGACAATGACTGGTCATCTGTGGGGATAGTCAGGGATTGGCCAGGCATAGGGGACTGACTTAGCAACTGGCTCTCAGAATCTTGTGGAGAGGATCGCGACAAAGGAATAATAAAACCAGTGGATGACTGCGAATCAACAGAGATATTATCCATACTTGACTGACTTTGGTTCAAGGCATTTTGAGAGGGTGAGCTAGAGCGATAACCTGGCTGACTGAGATTCTCCACAGAGCCTGAATTTGAGGCAGTTGAAAAGATCAGTGGTGATGCACCTCCCCTTGGAGAATTAGAATTTGAGATGGTATTTATAAACTTAAGATGACGAAGCCATGATCGCAACATGGAAAAGCTGTGGATGTTTAAGATTTGGTCAGGAAAAAAGTACTGTGCTGTGGAACAGAGTAAACAAACAAACAATGATTAGTTAAATGTAGGTCTTTTTCCCATGACTGCAACCAAAATGTTTGCTGCATGGATTGCTGCTCTCTCAAAAGCTACTGATAGATATAACAGATAAACAAAATTGAATATGGACCAACTGGAATTTAATTAGGCCCCTTTAGACCAACTGGCCTAAGTAAGTAGGAATTAAGGAGGTAAGTTTCTAAAGAAACTGTGGTGCTGTGTCAATGGGGGAGTATAACAAGATAATTTTAGTTTAATCAACTGAGTTGTAAAGATGATGTACATTGGCTACATGAAGAGTTTCATATCTGACATTTTGAGGGTTAGCCCTTTGTAATTCACTCTCATAAAGGGCTAACCCTCGAAATGTCAGCTTTGAAACACTTAAAGGTGGCCAATTTACATTATCAACTCAGTTGATAAAATCAAATTAAGTGGGAACTAGTTTGGGGTTTGCATTATTAGGTACTAAAAATAGACTCATGAGGTATCTTTAACAGTCATGTAACCACTTAGACTGCTAGATGGAGAAAGTAACACAGGCACTATGGGTCAGAGTAAGTCTCTTTTCCAACAAAATAAACTACACCATGTCCTTATATCAAGCTACACAGTGAAGCTTGGTGCTCAGTTTATCAGGTAGCCTCTAGATAGACAGCAGTTAAACTTGAACATGTTCGTGAACAGACTTTTATTAGATTAAAGCACTACAAGCGCATTATATAAAAAAACAACAACAAATTATTAATAAATTTAGACAAATGAGCTTACCAATACTCAAGACTGTAAAAAAGTATCTTGATGATGTTCCATCGACCTCTGTAACAAGTTGGTACTATAAAAAAAATGACAGGTGTTTCATTCTTTACAATAGCTGAACCACATACATACCATAACAAGGAAATACCAAAGACTGTCATTTTAATAGAAGGTACTTAAATTAAATAAAAGTTTAGGCTTATAAATCCTCTCAAAAGACACATCACACAAAGGTTGTAGTTTTATGTTCAACTAATGATGAATGACAACAATAAATTGATACAGATCTATTGTATAAAAATAATACAGTTTCTTTCAACATTAATTTTGTTCAAATTATACTACCAACCCCCTTTGATTTTCCTCCTCCAAAAATCTGTCTCTGATAAGGATTTGGTGCTGATACTGTGCTAGCATTTTTCAGCCAATTTGCCATTTGACGACTCACTGCTCCAGCATCATCTGTGACATCAAGTAAACATGTCAAATATTTCATTGTTTGCTCATTTTCAAGTTAATCTACTCCCTTTGCAAATACAGTTGAATTACTGGAATGAGTTTTGTAAGGTAAAGATCTTGTAGCTTGTAGTTTTTCTAACTATGATAAAAAACTTTCTGCTACTCAATACACTATTTTTATCATCTTCATGAAGTGTTTAAAGGAAAGTTGCTCAAATTGGATTCTGTGTGTTCATTACAAATTGCAAGTCAATTGTACTATATACAAACATTTTAAAATACCAAAAATAGCAAATGAATTAAGAAGAATAAAAAATATTTTGGATAAAGAAGCATTTCACTTCCAAATATATACTGATACAAACCTTGCGATATCAAGTTATCATCTGCATTTATTAATAATTGTAAAGAACCAAGTGACAATGTTTGTAACTCCACAGGCACCGCAGGTTTTGTTAGCCATCTGCAAGTTAAGAACATAACAAGTCATATCAAGCTACTTAAGTACATGTCTTAGCATCACTGAATCACAGAAATATTAATGAACAGAATGAATCTTATACCATCACTTGTTATCATTAGTTTTTGTTACTTACTGTACAAGTTGTGGAATGTATTTTGTCCAAAAGCCTCGCTCCTGGCCCTAAATAGTGAAGCACATATATGTCCAAAATAACAAGTGACAAAGGCTTTCACTTAAATCTAAAGCCCTTATAAAATTTGTTGTGAGGGGGGAGGATTAGAGTTCACTCTGATTAGTGTGTTAGTACCAGGGAAGTGCATGAGTTCTTGAAAGAACGTCTATTAAAATAGCTTAACATAACTAAACAATTAGGAACTATCAGGGAAACTTAAAAAATGGCTGAAGCAGGGAAGGGAGTGGTCCTGTTTTAACTTGCACTCAGTTCTAGAGGAGAAGAAAAACAGCTAAACAGCTTATTCCTGCAAAACCATTGAGAATTGAAGATAACCTCTAACAACTGTACTAGTCAGTCTCAAATTCAGACATTTTGGCAACAGTCAGATGTTTATCCAGTTTTTTTCAGTTTGATGAGAAGAGTCTACTACCATTCATTGTTCACATTCACTCACAAGAACTGATCCATAAATTGATACTGGGATCTTAGAAGTGATTGGGTAATATACTGCTTCATTGAATCACTCACTCTTTTACAACATACCTGAACCCATGCCAAGGGTAATATTATTGGTATATTCTTCTGCTCCACTGGTGGTTCCACATTAGCAATAACAAGCTGACTTGTTGGAGTTATCTCACGTAATATAGCACTGCACAGAAGTCGTAATCTTTTGGGACCTTGTTGAGGTTCGCCAGCAACACTTTGTAGCTCATTAATTAATTGATTTGACAAACTGGTGGAAGGAAAAGCACATCAAATAATCCTGTTTTACTCTATTGCTCCCAAGATCTAATTAGAAATTCTCCCTTCGAGATGTTAGACCAGCATATTACATGAAAATAGTTCGGAGAATTTTGTAGTACATCAACATCACACCCCTCCCATTGATAAATGTGTCTGTTTCCAACGATTTTTTTTCCGAATAATTAATCGATGTGGTAAGGATTCGGTAAGTCACATGCTGACGTAAAACTTAGATTTGAATAATTGTATAAGCTTAGGTACAATTCAAACAAAGTTCGACTGACATCGTTCACAATCTTTAACTTGATTTCCATCAAATGAGTTGAAATAGAGATAAAGGACTATTTGAAAGGAGGATTATTTTACAGTAATTACCTTCTCCTTTTTCTGGTGGCAGCCAACAACAAATACAGTCGCCTTAAAGTGTTTAAACACTCATTGCCCCGGTCACGACTCTGCAAAATTCCAAGAACTTTAGCGCAGAATTCTTTGAAGTCAGTGTCCTGTAACAGCCTATAAAATGGACATGACTCTCATAAATACTTAAAGGTATCGAACGATACATGGTTTATCCAGCATATATTCAATCATCATATGTTACCGTGCTTGTTTCACTACGGTAGAAGGATCTTTAAACTGATCCGCCATATTGAAAACATCTGGTTGGGGATAGCCGCTGGCTATTACAAAGCATATTCCAAGGCCCGTAACACGGGTCTGCAATGCGTTCAAAGAAGAAAGGGTTATAAAATTTACCCAGTCATTAAACTATGAGGTTTAGAACAAATAAGGTTTAGTGGGTACTTTAATGGTTAAAAATTTAAAATCCAAGAACTCAAATGCAGGATATGATACACACATTTACCAAATGTCCATCGATTTATCCTTCCACCTTCTCATTTACAGTCCCCCGCCTACCAAACACCTTCATAGATAACTCGTCCCCAAGCCTGAGGGGTTTTTGTTGTGGCTGATACTCGACAAGCTTTGAAATAACAGAAAGTGGTAAGTGTGCAAAAGAAGGCTTATGATTTTATAAACTCAGCTTAGCCATTTTCAGTTCATTTTTCTCGTTGCTCAGTTATAGCAAGCTGTAGTTCTACCAATTTATGATAAGCATCCATTCAAATTGTTTCGAAAACGAAACCGTGAATGTATTCTCCTGTATAATAACACCAAATTTTCTTGACTAATGTACAAAACTACCTCACCCATTTCATCTTAGCTTAGTCATGACAAACCCCATTCATTAAATTTGTCATGTATTTGAGATTTGTTTTGTTTGTCCTTACTCAGCCGGAGTGATTCTGTGAGACAAGAAAAGATGACTAGTAATTTGCCCTCCCTTCCCTCAGAAGTAATTGAAAAGATAGTTGCTTTCTTGCCGCTGCCAGACGTCTGCATCTGTATGTTGGTATGCAAAGAATGGAAAGTGAGTAAAGACTGTCCATATGAAAACTTTTGGTTTTAAAAGTCTCCATGGCAATTATTAAGATGTGACAAAAATTTGACATAAGTTTTCCAAATCCCAACAGGCAAGTAATCTCTCTATGGGATACATTTGTCTCTTGTTCTGTAATAATAGCAGAAGATCTTACTATCTTATTTTAAACTTCTTTGATGTACCTCTTCAAATCATCTATGAACTGTGTCAAAAGAAATAACAAAACAATTACTACTCACTTAAAATTAAAGACTAGCCAAAATAGTCATGAATTTTTTTTGTGTTTTATTTTTTATACATCAGGAAATGTTTTCATCAGAGCAGTTTAGTAAAAATTATGTGCTCAACCATTACAATTTTGATGATGAAGAACAACCTAGTGGACATCTTTATGCGTGGTCTGACCCAGAGGAATGGTTTCATTACTGGGATGACAATGAAGATAATTCCAATGTGTGGGTGTTTTCTAATCCTCCAAAGCGCTGGAAATGTGGCATTGTTCATTTAGCAAGTTACTCACTTGTCTCAGATAAACAGCTAAAGTATAAAAGTTTCCTCCGGGCTGTGTACATTTTGAGCAGAATAAAGAAGGCTGCAGAGGAGCTTGGACTGGATTGTGGTAAGTAAGACTAGGAGGATTCAGGGTTCATTTCCAAGTGGATGCCCCAAATATTCCAAGATTAAATAAAAAAAAAAACAAATCACAACAACTATACTTAGTGATTGGCTGTAACCTTTTCACTCCTAAGAGCTTAAAGTTGATTTTCCTTGCTAATGGGTACATTTCTTTGTTATCTGGTTCTGAGTCAAGAGTATTTCCCTAGTCAACAATCTTCTCAGTTTATTCTCATTGCCTGCCAGTTTACAATGTATTAAAAAAGGTAAGGATAATTTATATGGTGGATACTCCTAGTGTCAAAGGTTTATAAACTTGTGTCCCTTTCATTTGTGAATATAACACCATTTGTGATTTTTTAATGTGGATCTTTTCTTGCTGAAGTGTTAGTCAAATTGTTATGGCTGCTTTGCTTTTTGTTTTAACTTTTTCTTTATAGAAAATGAGCAGTGAACATTGTCTTATTCAATAAGGTATGTTTTTTCTGTAATAGGTGCTTGGGCAAATGAAGGCTCTGGATTGATAGAAACATGCTTATTTCCTTGGGATAAAGATTCCCTCCCCACAGCTACAGATATAATTTCACTTTATGGTTTCAATCCTGAGATGCAAAAGAACCCACTGGTGAGGGGTGAAGGTGAAGACAAGGATAGTGGTGATGAAAGTAGTGATGATGAGGAAGATGGAGGCTGTGTTCGTTGGAAGTCTTTAAGTACATCATATGATGTTGATGTGAAGAAAGCTCATGCTTTCTTTGACTGGATGAAGGAAATTTTTTCCCCTTATATTCAAATTGGTATAGGTTGTGATGCAATGAATCCAGTTCCTTGTTTCATTTTGGCAAAACTTGCTCCAGGTTGGGTGGGGGGTTTACTTTCTTCATTGGCTCTGACTTAGTCTAGTTTGTGCATGTATTATTCATTAAATTGAAAGAATGACATTGTGAATTAGATAATTAATTTAATGCAAAAATACTTCCCATTGAGAGAAGTTACAGCTAGAGTTAATCCTCACTAACAGACAAAGACTAATGTGTTGAGGAAGCAAAATACACTACACTGCAAATAAATACTAAATAAACACATACTATAACAAAAAAGACATATGCACATTATACAGTTACTGGAAATACATAAATCTATACTTTACCCCAATGCATTCATATTTAATCTAAGTGAATCACATGCAATTTCTAGGGGGGGGAGAGGGGGGTACAATTATATTATAGAAAATCATGAGACCATGAGCACTTTACCAAATAGGTTCTACATGTTGTTAAAGTTGTTTCATTGAATAAATATTGAGAAAAGATTATTTCTGAAGCTAACAAAATTTTGTAGGCTAGATTAGTCAAAATGCTAAAGGCAAAAGGCAGATAACATAATCAGGATAACCACATGAGGTGATGTACCATATGAGGTAAATATTCTACATCTAACTTCACAAACTAAAATATTTAAAATGAGGATATCCATTGGGCCTCAGTTTCTCTTAGTGTTTTAAATGTGTTTGTTAAAAAGCAACCAGGAGCTGCCTTTCCCTACCACAGGTTCATTCCGAAACTCGAAAATAAATATTTAGGCCTCTCAAAAAGCAACCAGGAGCTACATTTCCCTACTTCAGGTTCATTCTGAAACTCAAACGTAAATATTTAGGCCTCTCTAGGTTTAAAGTAGACCTTTTTTTAAGTTAGACAAATCTTATTTAAAAATTGCTGGTGACTGAATGTAGTAAAAACTAGATTTTGATACATTAAAATATTTAGATATTCCCTTGAAATCTTAGATGGAAACCATCCAAATGTTGAATAAATAAAATATACCTGTTATAGATTTTGCACAGGGTGCAACAGTGCCCACATTTCCATAATCTTAATAGTTAGGTTTATTTTTGTGTAGTCTTGCTGTCAGGGTTAGAAAGCTGTCAGCTCCTGAATTATTTTGGGAATTTTGGGCAAAATTTGACCAATCTCCTGTCAGATTGGGGATTGACCACTGGTGTCAGAAGTGATTTAAAGTCTAACGACATGTCAATTTGATTGATGTTTTGTGGAATTTAGATCAATATTTTGCAAAATAAAAGCTTCTTTCCTCTTTAGTTTATACATTAAGTCTTTTATGATTGTGTAGTGTTGAAAATCTCTACATTTTATGAAATCACATATACCGCTGCACGCCGCAGAAAAGGTGCTGCTTTTTCTTGCGTAACATGGATTATCATGGCTCTCCCAGCATCACTTTTATGGCTCCATAGTGTAATATAAAAAGTATAGTTTTCAATACTTTTTATCTTACAGCGCAAGCTTTCACTTTACGGTAAAAGTAATACTCCCTGCGCGCAAAGCGGAGGCCCATTACCTCGGAAATATGACAACTCAGCAAGCTATGAAAGTAGGTTGTAACGCGTGATTACCGTAAGTCAGTCCGAATTAAAAACCGAATTTTTTAGCGCGGGAACTTGTATTGTGGGAAATTCGGACAAAAAGAGGCAGTGAAAACAAATAAACCTATCAATCACTTCAGGTATGGCTAAATTTGTAAATATTGAAGCAAACTCGTTAACGAACAAGAACGTGGGGAAAAAACTCGCCCAATCGCATTTCTCAGGGTTGTGAAATTTTTCTCTCAACGGTATAGTCAGCAATTGATACTTTATTCGTCGGTAACCAGCAGCAAATATACATTCGCAACTCCTGCCTGAATCTTTGACTTTGAAGAGTGTAAATGATCGGATTCAAACACGAGCTTAAACCAACAGGTATCACACAGGCGTGGTAAATAATGGACCCATATTCCACCAAGCCAGGAACGTGATAGGCAAGCAAGTATGAAGTCACATCAGGAAGCCAACACAATGCGTGAAGCACCGTCACTGTTACTGCAATTTTCGTGATTCGCTTGCGTGATTTGATTACGACTAATGAAGTGCCCGAAATTATAGATGGGCCCCAAAGAGTTTTCAGAGTCTTGGCGTATAGAACAGCCATCAGTACAAGAGGAACTGAAAAGTCCACAACGAAGGTAAAGACGGTGTAAATCTTGCCATATACAAGTTTAGACCAGTTTTCAAAGCATGATGAATGATTTTTGTCATAAATCATTACGGTCATTGGAGGAATCTCGGAAAGAATGGCAAAAATCCAACCACATACAATAACCATTATTAGTTTTCTCTTTGATAATTTTCGTGCAATGTTGCCAGTTCGAGTGGCATAGAAGCGTTCGATGGCGATCACAACATGCATGACAGTAGCAGTACACCCTCCAACCCACATAGTGAACCCCCCAGTAAACAGCTTACAAAGCAAGGTTCCAGCCCATCCATCAGGGTGGGTATATACAGGACGAAGCACATATTGAGGGATCAGAGATGTTGCCACCAGAATGTCGGCCAGTGCTAAGTTGAGGAAAAGGTAGTTGATTGAAGTCTTGAACTTCGAGCGAATCAAAGCAAGTACTACTAGCAAGTTTGGAATCAAATTTAAGATCATTAAAAGGAAGAAAACCCCCGACAAAATATTTTGCGTCCTATCATTTACCATCGTGGCTCAGTTCAACGAAAGTCTTTTTTTTCTGTAGAGAGAAATATATGATTAGTTCTGGGTAAAGGATTGGAAAATCTGTGCAGCGCTCATGTCTAAAGGGGAAAATTAGACTGAGTTTTTTTTCGGATCAACTGAAAACGATTTCATCGAAAAACTTCTGTTGTGTCTGTCAAATTGAAGCGAACGATTTACGACATTTGACACTTAATATGTCCACGCTCTTCCGCTGGCGAAACAAAAAGTTTGATGGTAAACCTTACCTTCTCGATCAGTGATTGCAGTTGAAAGATAATTTTGATTTCTTTCCTGCCGTGTCAAAGATGAAACAATTTGAGAAATAATCCCAATCAGCCGGTAAGCCTCCAATATATTTTTCAATTACTAAAAAGTTAATGTACAGGACAGGTGTTAAAACAAAAGGCTGTCTTAATTCATCAAACGCAAAGTAAATCTTTTTAAATAAGGAATGAGTAATGAAATAAAGATATGGCAAGCAAATTTTGTGGACATTTTAAAATTAGCGATGAAGCTACGTCAGTTTTGGATCGAATTTTCAAGTTTTTTTTTTTTATTCATTACATCATCATATTACATTTCTCAAATTATTCACAAATATTGTTCTGTTTAATTTTTGAAAAGTAAAAATTGGAAAAAGAAACTTAGCGCTTGCATCTGTTAAAGGAGAGAGGTGTGAAATAAATGTTTGGGCGGTCGTGTACCATCCTGTGACTCCCTTACCCTACGAGCGAGTCTTTGATCACACTCATTAAAAACCAACCTGACATATTACAGAACGCGAGTTGCCAATTAACACTTTCACGACTAGAAACGTTGCGTGTGATTTAAGACTAATATACTATGTAAGTATCATGAGTGTATTACCATAGAAGATCATTCGCAAGTGCATTTCATCGTTCACTTACTTCACCTATATTTTAAACGCGTTTGAATAAAAGCGAACGGTTTGATCCATCAATGCATTTAAAAAATGAAGTTACAAGTTTTCTATAAACCATTGTCTCTATACAGCATGGCATTGGTGCACTAGTAACAAGGCTAAGCTAAATCAAGCAGAGGCTCTTTTTATCAATTCTTACCCCTTTAGGACTGGTACAAATGCGTATCTTGGCATCATTGCCGGTTACGGTGTTATCTAGGGACTAATTAAACTATTAATGAACAGAACATGTTAGGACCCCGTGGCGGGTCTTTCGTTTGAGAACCGTCGCTTCCAATGCATGGTTCAAACCACCCCATCGGCTTCACAGCTTTGACACCTATCGTAGCTAACAGAGCATTTGATTTGATTTTGCTCGAGTAACTGTTTCCCCCGCAAACTTCGGAAATTAATCAACCGAACCAAGTTATTATTAATCAACCTCTTTCAAGTGACAGCACTTCATAAAACCATAAAAAAAATTAACTATATCAATATCGTTTTCTCTACAGGAAGTCATTCAAAAATGCGCACTTAAAGAAACTTGACAGGGCTTGAGTTTTTCACTTCCAGACCGGTAAAGAGATTATAAAACACAAAAAACTAAGAGTGTCTTTGAAAAACACAGAGCTGTCCCTGGGCGTTGAAAAGCGACTAGAGACATTACGATTCTCTGAGAATATGAGTGCGACCTTCTATTAATGAAACAATGGGCAAATCGGAAATGTGATGTAAAAAAACGCAATAGCCATCGTCATTTCAGTGCGAGATTCTGCAAGAATGGGGTAAGGTGGAGGAACAAACAAGTTACCTTCACAGTAGCCACAGTTTTATCACTTTTCAATCAGAAAGGTACCTATCTGGTTATTGTTACCAAATACAATCGTGCTCCATTTTTACAGTCATTAACAGGACCATGAAGCTTTCCAGAGTATACATCTTTTCTAAGTAATTCCTTTGAGGATTACCGACTACAACTTCTCTCTGAAGTCATACACTCTTCAAAGAAATTGTTTAAGTCTCCATTGTTTGAACACACTTATGCTCAAAGAGTCGCTTTTAGGAGAAAGTGATTCCGCGGGAATACAGCGCGGTATTTTTTCTTGTAAGTCAAAGTCAATAAAAGCGTCCTACACTATGGAATACTCGAGGGATTTTACATAAATCCCTGTTGTATCTACAGATCCCCTCTATGCGGACGAGATAGAATTTTTTTTTTAATAATCTGTTAATGAGGCTGTAATCAACTCTCTAAAATAACGCCGTAATTTCTTATCAGTAATTACACTTTTAGTCATGGAATGAAACCGTTGCATAGGACGAAGGAACATTTAAATTTTCGTTTGTAGGTTCATTTTCTGTGCAATGGCCGCATATTCCTTGTGTCCCGAGGAACCTTTCTGTTTGACGTACTCAAGTGTGCGCATCTGTTGAAGTAACAAAAACAAAGAAATTAACAAGGCCATGAAGATTTCCACACATTGCCGATGGTCATTTGGGGGTTTGCGAAGATTACTAGGGATTACCGAAGTTTTTAAACGGAAAAGTAATTGTACTTGCGTCCATCGACCTAAATGACAGACTAGGAAATGAATTTTTCTTGGACGTAACATGTTATTCATCAAGTTAAATCTACGCGTGGATGCAGCGATCATCTAATTTTTGCTCTAACACTTTTATGGCGCGTTGCACTAACGGCTGCGGTCAGCGGTCATAGTAAGCAACTATGTCCACTGGTCTATGAGCTCGAAGTCTCTTTTAGTTATCATGTGTAGTTAGAGTTCTGATAGTATTTGTACTTACTGTGTATTTTGTGTTCCCATAGCCATGTTTCTGAGCGAGATTCCACAAGTTAAGGGCCAGTGTAGCTAACTGAGGTTGTGAGAGATCAGCATGACACAACAGCCTTGAAAACAATACAAAAAAATTGTCCAGTGAAGTATTCTAATGAAAAAGATTTATATCCTGTTGAACAACACTGACATCCAAAATAGCTCAAAATATTTCTAACCCAACAAGAAAGCATCGCATTTCTTTTGATAGTAAACATGGACAAATTCAAAGCGTTTTCCATCTCTACCTCAGAATAGACGAAAAACATACGGTATTTATAAAAGTTTTTTTTTCTGGTTTCAAAATTGTGCTTCTCCTGTCAATAGATGCACCATGAAAGAGACCTTTAAGATCCACTGCGACGAAGTTAATTATCATTCAAAGACAAACATATAAACTAGGTTCACTTTTGCTGACCTGTTGAAGAACCCAATAGCTATAGCGGCCTGCTTTTTGAGCTCCTAACAATAAAGGACATAACAAGACTGTTATAGTATCTGTACAAACACTGTTCCTGCCTCAGCACAAACAAGGTTTTTCTTAGTGTTGCACAGAATTTTACACCTGCATCACTAAATTAGCATGGGAAGAAAGAAAAGTTTTAGGACGTAAATAATTTTTTGATTTTAACAGAATCAATAAAAAATTAAGACTAACTGTATGTAATAAAGAATCCCTTAAAGTCATGCGATGGTTATAAAATGCTCAGTTAGCGAGGCCTTTCAGCGTGGAAAATGTCAAGAAGACTTACCTCTTCGGAGGTCAAGGACTTTAAGTGTTCAAACACAGCCTCCATTAACGTAAAAACTAGTCGATTTATCTCTGCTAGAAATTTCTTATCACAACCGTACAATCTGTCATTCGAATCCACTGAAAACAAACAAACGAATCAATACATGAAAAAAGAAACAAACAAATTATCTTATAAAATTAACCTAACTCGCTTTCTTTACGGTAAAGTGGAAAATTTTTTTCAACAAGCAACAACTCTTCCTTGTACTTTCAAATTCCTTGTTATCAAACCACGATATTGTTTCATACTGAAAGAGAAAACGGGTGGAAATAGAGACGTTTAGATTAGGAACTTAATAACCTACCTTTATCAACATGATAAATGAAATATTCCTGCAAAGAGAGATGAAAATTTCAGCCATACTTCTTTTCTATGAATGAATGTTTGCAAGGAAAAAGGAGTAAAAGCCTTTTACGAACAAATCGCGCGAGACTCGCGTGTATGCTCGTGAAGACCACGTGAACTTGAACGATCATACAGATACAATAACACACAAACCCACCTGACTCATGGCGGAGAGAAGGCAAACGGCATTTAGGTAAATACTCATTTTGGCGCCGCTGTTTATTTCCCAAGTGTACTCTTGTACAACATTAAGCAGGCCTCGAACAAGATGCAGCGCGCCTTGATCTGGCGAGTCCTGAAAAAAAAAATTAGAAAAGTACCACATGAGTTGAGTGCACTCTGTAACAGAGCAATGATAAGGTGACAAAGGTAATACGGGACTGTATTGGTTTTGCCTCATTTCGAACTGTGATTGGTCTAGAAAAGTCAAGTCATCTATTCACCCAATCAGATGCAAGCCTAAAATAATAGCGACTTGGTGATTGGCGTTTCCCGCGCTTCTCTTAATTTTTCATTGGTTCCTAGTTACATCTACCGATTGTAATGACTACACTTTGGTGCACTCACTCACAGTTATCATTACCAACAAGAGCTGCAGTCATTATATCGTACAAACGTACCGGTACTACCAACAACGTGGAGAAAAAGCTGTTCATGTAGGCAAGAAGGTATGGCTCCGACGATTTCACCTTGTGGTCAATTTCTAGAAAAACAACGAAGAAAACACACAAACAAACATCACAGTTTTCGCTTGTTTGATCTCTTATTTCGGAATAATTCGACTTACATCCCTCTGACTTTTCTACGCTAAATATAAATATACAGGTGTTGTATTCGGGGGAAAGGATCTACAGGAACTATAAACTGAACGTTACCCCAATCAAACAAAACACCTTAGAAAAATAATGTTATCTATAGTTTTCTTTGTTTGTTTGATTCATTGTTACTTTCTCATTCAGAACATTCCTACTACGAGCACGTACGAGGTAGATAGTTTGTTGTTCTGAATCAGTGATCTTACCAATCGTTCGTGGCACTTCAGCAACAAGACTGATCGCCGCTCTAAAAAATGCATCCGCTGAAACGTGAAATGCAAATGGCGTTACATCGTTTGGTTCTAAATGTTTCATTCCAATCAACAACAATTTTCCGTGACCAATGAAACGAATAAAACCATCGCTAAGAAGCATTGACTTCAAGTTGAGTTTAACGGTTGCTGTCTAACCAGATGCGCATGCCTATCCCATAGAGATCTACTGACCTTGACTGAGGGCTTGATTTGCCATGGCAACCTGTCCTGACAGGAGGTAGAGCTTGAGGCGAGAGAAAACGTCATCTATGGAGGGGATGGTAATGAAACAGTAGGCAACACAAGCCTGTAGGAGACAGGGCAGAACAATGTTTAGTCAAATTATTGTAAGCACTGAGAGATAAAATCAAGCAAATCCTCTCCTCTTACTCTGATGAAGGACGCAGTCTTTCGAGTGTGGTTCCCTTTGACTACTTCTCGTGTTTTCATGGCGAGAAGATTAACACTCTGTTAACAAAGGCAAAAGGTACAAGAGCACCGTTATGACTACAGTAAACGATTGGGTGTGTCTATGACGCACGTGTGTCCTGGCAGATCTGATTTCATGAATTTCTGTGACCCTAAAAATGTCTCAAATCGAATACAAAATTTAAACCGAATCTAAAACCAAGCAATTCGTTTTTTGTATTTTGAGCTCCATCGACACCGTGATATTTTCCTTTGCTATTAGCCGTTGTGGATATTTTAGTGTTTGCTTGTCGACAATCATCGACGCGCGCTCAAAGTAAGATTTAATTACCTGCACAAGCATCACAAGAACAGCTTCTAGACTGGAGAAAGAGGAACGTGCATCCACAAAAGAATCCAGTTGCCTCTCAAAATCACGGC